GAGAGAGAGAGAGAGAGAGAGAGAGAGAGAGAGAGAGAGAGAATGTTTGTTTGTTTGTTTGTCTCTATGTGTCCCTATGATGGACTGGAGACCTGTCCAGGTGTCCACTGCCTCACAGTGACTGCTAGACATGGGCACCAGTGACCCCCGTGACTCAAAAAGGAAGAAGCGAGTAAAGATGGTGGATGTATTTGTAGTTTGTCTGTTACAGGAAATGTTTAACTTTATAAAACCTAAAGGTTTAGATAAAATAAAATGTTTCAACCTCTGTATGTTCTTCCAGAAGAGAAAAACACAGATCATTCAGATGCGCTCTTATTGATTTTAGTGTCTTGTGTGTTTTGTTGCAGAACCATTTGATAGTTCTGTTGCTGCTGGTGTTTGAGGCAACAGTGTATCGTCACCAGACTCACCATTACAGCCAGATCCAGCGGTCCCCCCCACCTGTACCAGCACTTTTCCCTTCTGCAACTAGAGACACTTTAGATGACGGCCTCCTTCCCTGCTTGAAGTATCTGCTCAACTACACCTTTTACAAGTTTGGCCTAGAGGTGGATGATCACTTGAACTTTAAATTTTGTTTTCTGGGCCTGAAAATTACCCCCAAAAAATTAAGTAACTTAAAAAAAAGTGTTCCCTTGTAAAATTTTGGTGGTTAAAAAGACACGTTACTGAATATTCAATTTTTATGCCTTTTATATATTGTCTCTCCATCTGATTTATTTGTTTATTTTTACTTTTTAAGATCTGCTTTCTGATGACGGTGAATGTGATTGGTCAGCGAATGAACTTTTTAGTGATTATCCACGGCTGCTGGTTGGTGGCCATCTTGGTGAGGCGCCGGCGTGCAGCTATTGCTAAGATCTGGCCAAAATACTGTATTTTCCTGTCTATCTTCATGATCTACCAGTATCTGCTGTGTGTGGGCATACCTCCTGCTCTTTGCATTGGTGAGTAACAATTTATGTAACTCATATAATTGTTGTGGAAAAACACGACTTAGTGACACATTTTCATTTGGTGCAGCAGAATTGTCATTTAGGATGCGTCTCATGATCGCACATGGAGAGGAATTTTTTAATATTGAGTTATTATTTTAAAATTTCATCTCAAAGCTTCAAAATATTACGTACCGTGGTTTGTTGAAATGTGTTGATTAGCCACCGGGCCTGGCAACAAGCTAGTTTTGTTTATGAGCGTGCCGGTTTGAAAACTTGATTTGTACTGGTCTGGACAGATGTCCAGGAAATCCTGGGAAAAAAAAAAAAAAGCTTTACAATGATACCAAACATTTTATGAAGGGATTTCCTGATGCTACAGCAGTGGGCAAAGAAAAATGGTAAAAAAAAAAAAATCAAACAACAATTTATAGGGTTTATTGTGAAGACACGCCTGTTATAAGTTCAAGTTCAAGGAGGTTTATTGTCATTTCAGCACATGTGGTACATGAGGAGGAACAAAACTATGTACTCGGGGTCCCAGTTTCATCAAACAATAGTAAAAATATAAAGTGTAAACAGAAACGGTAAATAAGGATCTAATGCTGACCACTAATAATGTAAAACAACATGGAGTAACAACAGCAGCCTGAACATGAGCCCTTGGTGAGCGGATGGGTTAAAGACTTTTATATAAAAACTTTTATATTTTGATTATATGTTACTTTAGTTACTGGGACCACTAGATGGTGTCTTTATGGAGATTTTTTTTATACAAATGTCAAACACTGGTAAAAATCCACATTTTCCCACTTTGTGCTCTGCAGTCTTTTCTCGTTCAGGCTCATTTTGCAGCACAGATCATCTTCTGACGGCGAATCAAACTGCCCTTCCTCTACCGCAGCTCTCCAGCTCTGATGAGGCTGTAGTCCTTGTTTCTTTTAATCTGTGAACTTGTATAAATACATTCTCAGTCTGTCTCAGGCAGATACATTCTGCTGCTTAGAATAATTTCAGCCTTGCGATTTTCTGCTTA